TAGACATTTTTACTATGTTGATTCTACCAATCCATGAGCATGGGAGATCTCTCCACTTTCTGTAGTCTTCCTCAGTCTCTTTCTTCAGGGGTTTGTAGTTCTTCTTGTAGAGGTCTTTCACATCCTTTGTTAGGTTTACTCCTAGGTATTTGATTTATTTTGAGGCTACTGTAAATGGAATTGTTCTTCTATATTCTTTCTCAATTTGTTTGTTGTTAGTGTATAAAAAGGCTACTGATTTTTGTAAGTTGATTTTGTATCCTGCCACCTTGCTGAAGCTGCTCATGGTGTCTAGGAGTTTTTTGGGTCTTTAATGTATAGGATCATGTCGTCTGCAAATAGGGATATTTTGACAATTTCTTTACCTATTTGTATTCCTTTTATTCCTTCTTCTTGCCTAATTGCTCTGGCTAGGAATTCCAGTACTATGTTGAATAGGAGTGGAGATAGTGGGCATCCTTGTCTGGTTCCTGTTTTTAGAGGGAATGGTTTCAGTTTTTCTCCGTTAACTATAATGCTGGCTGTAGGTTTGTCATATATAGCTTTTATAATGTTGAGGTACTTTCCTTCTATTCCTAGTTTTCTTAGAGCTTTTATCATGAAATGGTGTTAGATCTCATCAAAGGCTTTTTCTGCATCTATTGAGATGATCAAGTGGTTTTTGTCTTTGCTTCTGTTGATGTGGTTTATTACATTTATTGATTTCCGTATGTTGAACCACCCCTGCATCCCTGGGATGAAGCCTACTTGGTCGTGGTGAATGATCTTTTTGATGTGTTGTTGAATTCAGTTTGCCATTATTTTGTTGAGGATTTTTGCATCGATGTTCACTAAGGAGATTGTGCTAGGTGCTTTGTGGCATTTACAAAAGTTCTTGCAATATATCATAGATGAATTCACCCCCTCCACCATTCTCCCTTTATTCCCACCCCCACCCCCCATTCCTGGAATAGTTTCAACAGGTCTCATTTTTCCAATTACATATATGTGTTGTGTTGGGTGTCTTTGTGTTGGGTCTCACGAACTGTCTGCCTAGGCTGGCCTCAAACCTCAATCCTCCTGATCTGTGCCTTCCAAGTACCTAGGATTACAGGCATGAGCCACCAGTGCCCAGATACTAGTGTGACTTTTTGACCTTCATCCTTGTAACCCCCGTAACTGAGGAAGGGAAGGTCTTACTATCCCTTTTGACACATGGACATTGGTGAGGTCCAGTGACGCCCACGTGACTTACAAGCTAGCATCAGAGATACTCCTGACCCTTAAGTCATACTGACTTGAAAGTGATGGTGACAGTGGTGGTGGTGGCAACTAATATGGAGTGTGACTGTAGCAACTCTGTTAGGTAAGTACAGTTGTTATTCCAACATAGAGCTGGGGAAACTGAGGCTCATAGAGATGGATGAACTCAGCCAAGGACATATAGCTACAAGGTGATGAAGGATTTGAACCCGGGCTTTGGGATTCCAAAATCAGAGCTCTTAATCTCTGTGACAGGAAGTTTCCCTGCCAGGAGGCCAGACAAGTGGCCATTTTACCCAGCTCCCCACCCTCCATTTACCTCAGAAACCAGAGCCTCCATCAGGAAGTGAAGCCCACTTCCCACTACTCTCAGAGGCCCCTCACTCAGTCTGCTGTGTGACCTTGCTGAGCCTCAGTTTGAAATAGAGTTTAGTTGAGCTGTGACATCCTGCTATTCCATATTAAGACTTAATATTCCATAGTAAGTCTGGGAGGATGTGATGATGTGGGCTTAAGAGTTTCTGCCTCTTGCCAACAATTTTTTTTTGGCAGTACTGGGGTTTGAATTCAGGGCTTTCCACTTGCCAGACAGCTTTCTACTACTTGAGCCATGCCTCCAGCCATTTTTTTTTTTTTTACTTTAGTTATTTTTCAGATAAGGCCTTGAGTTTTGCCCAAGGCCAGCCTTGTACTGCTGTCCTGCTATCTTCACCTCCCACATAGCTGGTATTACAGGGGTGCACAACCACGCCTGCACGCCTGGCCCCCACCTACCATTTGAATTTGTCTTTGAATCAATTATGGGTGAAAGTAAAAGCTCTCTCATCACCACCATCTTTCATTCCTCCTTGCCCTCTCCCTCTCTCTCCCTCCCTTTCTCTCTCTCTCTCTCTCTTTCTCTCTCTCTCTCTCCAGCCTAATTATGGTTAGCTCTGTTATTTAGAGACTTATTATCCAAACTCATTATGAGTAATTATTCAGTCTGGAGGAGAAACAGCATTGCTACTTTAATTTAATGCTTACCTAGTTCACTTAATTAGCGATAAGTCTTGGCAAAACCGTGGGATTCGTGGGCTCATGGCTTGGTGGATGGGTGGGTGGGTGGGGAGAGGCTGTGTCTGACCTTGAAAGGTCCTTGGGGTAGAATGTGGGAGGCGGCAGGGAGCGAGCTGCCTGGGCTGAGGCTGCCCTGAGAGGCTGGAGATGACACAGGCTGGAAGGTCCTTAAGTCAGGTAGCACTTATTAAGCACCTAGTGTGTGCCAGACTCTGCAAGACACTGGGCAAACCTTATCTCCTACGCCCATAGGATTTGTACATTCAAAATCATTTAAGTACAGCCTGCCTTTTTTTTTTTTTCCTTCACAGTACTGGGTTTGAACTCAGTCTCATGACTGCTAGTCCTTTGGTTTTAGTTGTTTTTCAGGGTGAGGACAAAAGCTTTGAACTGCAATCCTCCTACCTCTACCTCCCAAGTAGCTGGGATTATAGGTGTGCACCTCTGCACTCAGCCAGTATTGCCTACTTTTTTTTTTCCATTTTTCTTTTATTATTCATATGTGCATACAAGGCTTGGTTCATTTCTCCCCCCTGCCCCCACCCCCTCCCTTACCACCCACTCCGCCCCCTCCCTCTCCCCCCCCTCAATACCCAGCAGAAACTATTTTGCCCTTATCTCTAATTTTGTTGTAGAGAGAGTATAAGCAATAATAGGAAGGAACAAGGGTTTTGCTGGTTGAGATAAGGATAGCTATACAGGGCATTGACTCACATTGATTTCCTGTGCGTGGGTGTTACCTTCTAGGTTAATTCTTTTTGATCTAATCTTTTCTCTAGTACCTGTTCCCCTTTTCCTATTGGTCTCAGTTGCTTTTAAGGTATCTGCTTTAGTTTCTCTGCATTAAGGGCAACAAATGCTAGCTAATTTTTTAGGTGTCTTACCTATCCTCACCCCTCCCTTGTGTGCTCTCGCTTTTATCATGTGCTCAAAGTCCAATCCCCTTGTTGTGTTTGCCCTTGATCTAATGTCCACATATGAGGGAGAACATACGATTTTTGGTTTTTTGAGCCATTGCCTACTTTTTAACTCTCATATAATGAACATATTCTTTTCAGAAGAACTACTAATTTTGCTCGGTTAAGGAAAAAGTTTTCCAGTAAGCAGTGTGACTTCCCTCTCACCCTTTTCACAAAGGGAGGCGGCAAGTAACAGAATCCAGCTGCAAAACATCATTCACCTTTGACTTTTTAAATAGTTTGGCTCTACTCACGGCAAGTGATGCTGACTTTCCACATACGCAAGTGACATAAAGTTTCCATTGTAGTAAAAATAAGTGAAATGTCATACAGAAAAACATTGGGTACAGAGTTGAGTTAGAGCCGGGTGCTGGTGGCTCACGCCTATAATCCTAGCTACTCAGGAGGCAGAGATTAGAGTGATGGAGGTTCGAAGCCAGCCTGGGCAAATACTTTGACCCTTCACAAAAAAGTGCTGGCAGAGAGGCTCAACGAATAGGCCCTGAGTTCAAACCCCAGTACTGGAAGAAAAAATGACAAAGTTGAGTTAGCCAGGTGCTAGAGCTCACACTGTAATCCTAGCTACTTGGAAGGCTGAGGTCAGGAGGATTGCAGTTTGAGGCCAGCCTGGGCAAATAGTTCATGAGACCCCATCTCCAAAATAACCAGTGCAAAATGGACTGGAGGTGTGGCTCAAGCAGTAGAGTGCCTGCCTTGCAAGCATGAGGCCCTAAGTTCAAACCCCAGTCCTGCTAGGCACTGGTGGGTCACACCTATTATCCTAGCTGATCAGGAGGATGGAGGTTCGAAGCCAGGTACAGGAAATAGTTCTGGAGACCCTATCTTGAAAAAAAAACATCACAAGTAAAGGGCTGGTGGAGTGGCTCAAGCAGTAAGAGTGACTGCCAGGCAAGCGTGAGGCCCTGAGTTCAAACCCCAGTCCCACCAAAAACAAAAAGAAAGTAAAGTTGAGTTTGTGTGCCCATTTCATGCCCTGGGTCAGGGGATTGTCTACCCCAGGGACAAGCTGGCCATCTTCTCCACCCCCATGCCCTATGTAGACAGTTTCCATCAGACACCAGAGAGCTGTGAAATCTGCATGCTGCCTCCGAATTCTTAGCCCAGGGCTCCAGCACTGCCTTGGGGCCGAGTGCCCTCCCGACCGCCCTTCCCAGCCCACTGCAGCCCCACAGCACCTCCTGCCACCCTGTCCCAGTCCCAGGGCATCCCGGTCCCCCCATGTTCTAGCCCCTTTGCCATCACAGGTGCCATTTCTCTTCAGCCCTCCTTGCTTCTCCCAGTCCTCTTGAACCAGTGGGTAAACTGAGGCCTAAAGGGACAACTCCGTAGGAAATTAGAGCAGAGCCACAGCCAAGCTGCCTTGGAGCCCAGCAGGGCCCTTCCTGCCACTCTCCACCTCCCACCCAAGGTACTGATAGGCTTCTCTTGTGGCCTGCTGCCCGGGTGACCGTCTGGTTATAGGAGCCATCAAGCAACACCATGGTAGGGTGGGGTGGGGGGGTCCACAGTGCCCCATCCCCCATGCCCACCCATGGCCACTCCCAGGCGGACAGTCCACACTCACACCTCCCCATCCATAACACGGATCCCACAGGCCTGTGCTGCCACCCCTGGGGGCTTTCCTGCCCCTAGCCAGAGCCTACCCCAAGACACCAGAAAATGGACATAGAGGTTCTAGAGCGAGCAGTGTCTGCTCTCATAGGGTTTTATTAGGGTTGGATCCCCTCGGAGCCTGGCCTCATGGCTCAGGCCAGCCTCTTGCTCACGCGCTCATAGGTCACATCTCCGATGGTGGAGATCTGAAAGAAGCAACCAGAACACAGGAGTCAGTGCTGCACCCCCAGGCAACAACCTGAGGTGACCATGGGGCACAGCTGAAAGAAGACCAGCTTCTGATGCCAGCTCTACATCGCTTCTGGGGGCCGTGGATTCCAGTCGGTGACCCCTGTGCAGAGCCCCGTGTGGCAGAAACCCTGAGCAGCTGCGAGCATGGGGTGGCTCTGAATATGCTACTGTCCACCTCTGTTCTTGGCACTTCGCTATGCCAGGCACTTCCTCCAGACATTCCCGGGAGCTTGCTCCCATTGCACACAGGAGAAAACTGAGGTGTGGTCAGCTTGGGAGATCGCACCTCTTGGACACACACCTGCTTCTGGCTCTCTCTGCACACCTCCCAGGCTGGAAACTTGGCCTCTGGAGCCAGGGCCCACTGGCTGACATGTCACGAGAAAACATGGCCAGAGCTTTCATCTGATTCTCCAAGAAGCCAATTTTCACCCAAGGAAAGAGGAATACCCACTTTTTTTTTATATATATATACTTTTTTTAAAAAAACACTATACATCTATTCATTATTTAAAATTCTTTACAAAATAAAAATGGACTAGGGGCATGGCTCAAGTGGTAAAGCAGCACAAGCTTGAGGCCCTGAGTTCAAATCCCAGTCCTGCCAAAAAATTTTAGCCAGACTCCAGAGGATCATGCCTGTTATCCTAGTTACTTGGGAGGCAGAGATCAGGAGGATCTCGGTTCAAAGTCAGCCTGGGGCAAATAGCTTGTGAGACCCTATCTCAAAAAAACCCATCACCAAAAATGGGCTGGTGGAGTGGCTCAAGGTGTAGGCCCTGATTTCAAGCCTCAGTACCACAAAAAAGAAAATTAAGTGATATTCAAAAATGTAAATAAATAAATAAATATGAGTGGGCAAAAAAAAAAAAAAGACTCACTGGCTCGGGGAGTGAGGCCCCCCAGGCAGAGAACTTTGCCTAGAAGTCAGCTTATGGGATCTACTTCTACCCTGTACTAGCTGTGTGGCCTTGAGCAAGTCACATGCTGTCTCTGAGCCTTATAAAATACTCTGTAAAAAAGGGAATAGTGCCTCACGCCTGTAATCCTAGCTGCTCAGGAGGCAGAGATCAGAAGGATTGAGCTTCGAAGCCAGCCTGGGCAAATAGTTTGTGAGAGCCTATCTTGAAAAACCATTCACAAAAATAGGGCTGTTGGCGTGGCTCCAGGTGAAGGCCCTGAGTTCAAGCCCCAGTACAGTTGAAAAAAAAAGGCGGGGGGGGAGGGGATAGTGGGAAGACATTGAGCCTGTTGGGCCGTGTTAGGGTTTTCATGTTAGTGACCCCACAATAACCCACATGTTCAAACCTGAATCCCTAAGGTGGTAGAATTTGGAGATCGGACTGTTAGGGGGTAACTAGGTCAGTGAGGGTGGGGCCCTCCTGATGTGATTAGTGCCCTTCTGAGAAGAAGCAGGAAAGAGGTGCCTTCTCTGTGTGGCATGCGAAGAAACCGGACCCTACCATGCTGGTGCCCTGAGTTTGGATTCCCTGGCCCCAAAAATATTTGTTGTATAAACAACCCAGTCTGTAGTGTCCTTGTCACAGCAGCCGAGCAGTGTGCTCCTTTCCTGTAGATGGGGCTTGAGATGTGGGTGACAAGGAAACGGGAGGGGGAGGGGAGGAGAGAAAGGATGGGGTAAAAAGGCAGTGAGGTTCGGGGTGGCAAACCTGGGAGGGGGAAGGGCTCTTCTTAGACCTACACTGGACAGCAGAGGGGCTGTGGTGCAGTGCAGACTCTCAGTGGGAATGAGGTTTGGAAACCCTTCTCTCTTTTGACCTCATGCCCATTTCTTCCGCCTGGGGAAGATCCAGGGGGACGAGATGGAGGGGAGGGGAGGGCCTTGGGGCAGCCCCTCCCCTGTGTTCACACAGCAAGTGTGGGAGGGGTCAGTGCACAGATGTGTGTTGGACCTGCCAGCACTTTAAAAAAATCATAAGTTGTCACCAACATTTACCAGCTTCTTTTGAAACCAGAAGATCTAGTGGAAAGGTCTGAAGTCCTTATGGAAATAGAGTGGGATGGTGGCTGCCCTTGGAGGGATCCCCCAGACCACCCCCTTCCTTTACATTCTGGGAAGGGTCTCTCAGGCTTCCTACCTTGTGGCCTGAAGTGTCTGAGCAGTCTCCTGAGTGGGACTGCCTGGCCCTGAATTCCAGCTGTCATTGAAGTTATATACAACCCCCCCCCCGCTAATCACTGAGCTTCCTGTACCTCAGTTTCCTCGCCTGTGAAAGGAATGGGGCAATGGAGATCAAATCCCCAGGTTAGCTGCACACTCACCTCCACCAGCTTGTCACCCACGATCTCCAGGGTCTGGTGGTAGTTGGGGAAGTCCACCACTATCTTCCCGCCCTCCATCTGCAGAGTGGCCTGGAAGGAAAACGACATTGAACTTGAGCCATCAGAGCCCTCCAAGCCAGTCCAGTCAGCCCTTGTAGGAATTTGCCTGCAGACAGACAATTGCTTGTCGCCAGACGGAGATGACCTCCAGGAAGCCACTTAACCTCTTGGTGCCTCTGTTCGTGTATCTCTAAGATGGACGTGGTGACTCCCTTCCTCATCAGTTTGTTGAGAGGATGAAATGGTGAGTGAAGTGGGCCGGGGATGTAGCTCCGTGGCAGAGCACATGGGTAGCATGCGTGAGGCCCTGGGCTCGATCCCTGTACATGGTATATGCAAAGTGCTTAGAGCTGGGACGTCATGGTCAGCGCCATCAGCGTGGCATGAGGTCCGAGGAGGCTGATTGCATCGAGAGTAGTAATACCAAAACTGAATACCGAGCTATTTTATCCAGCAGTAAATAATCTAAATATCTATCAGTGAGAGAGTGCTTTGATAAATGACAGCCTTTCCGGCACTAGAATACTGTGCGGTCGTTAAAAGGAATAAAGCCAGCTGGGTGCTGGTGGCTCACGCCTGTAACCCTAGCCACTCAGGAGGATCTCAGTTTGAAGCCAGCCTGGACAAACAGTTCATGAGACCCTATCTCAAAGACAAACCATCACATAAAAGAGCTGGTGGAGTGGCTCAAGATATAGGCCCTGAGTTCAAGCCCCAGTACCACAAAAAAAAAAAGAATTTGTTTCAGGTTGAATGAATCACTGGGCTGCCTGGCTGCTCTGTGTCCTTGAGTGGCTTGTATGTGCAAGAGATAGCTTAACCATCTCTGGGGATTTGCAGGTCACATCTCCGTCCTGAAGCTGCTTTCTGGCTGCAGAGTCTTAGATACACTACATGACCTCCAAATCACTAAGCTCCCCTACAGACCCCAGCATTCAGCGTGTGGCAGGCCCAGGCAAGGTGCATTTCCTTGTGGGATCATCACCAGGCTCTTTACCTGGTCCCATCTTGCATGCTTCTAGCATGGAAGCGAAATTACTTGGCCAAGGCCTCTAGTCCCCCCGCCCCGGTAGGAGGTCATAGCTTGCAATCCAGCTGAATCTGAGGACAGGGCCTGGGCTCTGCATCTCTGCTACACAAGCAGCAGGGCTCTCTGGAGCCAGGCCCCTACTGTCCCTCCTATGTGACCAGGCAAGCTGTTTAATCCCATGGTCCAGTCCCCCCATCTGTGAAATGGGAGAGTAATTACAACTTCAGAGGATTAACTGCAGTAAGACGTTTAGTTTATTAACTCAATCAGGGTGGTGCACAACTGTGATCCCAGCACTTCTGCTGAGGCAGAAGTTTGAAGCCAGCCTGGGTCCACCAGGCAACACGCTGTCTCAAAAATAAATAAATAAATAAAAAGAAAGAAAGAAAGGAAGAATGATCAGGTGCCGGTGGCAGTTCACACCTGTAATCCTAGCTACTCAGGACACTGAGATCGGGAGGACTGCACTTCAAGGCCAGTCAAGGCAAATAGCTTGCAAGACCCCATCTCCAAAATAGCCTGAGCAAAATGGACTTCAGGTGTGGCTCAAGTAGTAGTAGGGTGCCTGCTCTACTTTGAAAGAGCAAAGCTCTGAGTTCAAACCCCAGTCCCACCAAAAAAAAAAAGAGGATAAATTATCCAGCAAGTGTCAGGTTAGTTATCTCAAGTGCTCAGCAAATATTAGCTATTTTTACAGTCACTATCATGTCCATTATTTATAGTGGCCATTAAACTGCAAGAGGATGAAATTAGCAATTAATTCAAACTCTTTATGCTGGAAACTAAACTTCAGAAAGAAACATCAGCTTGGGGAACAGGGAGGAGATAGAGAAGTTGATCTGGGTTGGGGGGAGCAGGGAACGGCGACCTTGAATTTCTCCCTCGCTCACCTTGAACTTCTTGCCCCCCATGGTCTGGATCTCGCTCTCCTTGCCAATGGTGAACTTGTTGGTTATGACATTGCCTCCGGAGTAATGCTGGGACCAGGTGAAGTTCTGTCCATCCTGCTGCACCTCCGTGATGATCTTGAAGTTACGTGCCCTCTCGATCGAATCACTGGAGAGACCTGGTGACAAGCAGAGAGGCCGCAGATTTTTGCCCTGTGATTTGAGGAGAGCTTTCCCTAGTGGCAGGCTGGCCTGCAGGTCTGAGCACAGTACCTGAGACAGAGGCAGTCAGTGCCCCAAATTCCAGCTCTGCCATACATAACTTCAGTGTCACCATCTCTTGGGGCCTTTGTTTTCACCCATAAAATAGGAATAATAAAGCCCAACTCACAGGAACTTAATTTCACTATGATTCTTGATGAGTACCAAGTCCCTGGCATATACTTGGTACTTATCAATAATAGCCAATCTTCTGATAGTAATGTAACAGAAATTGCCAAGCTCAGAAAGTTCTAGAATGAATAAGACCTTCAAGATTGGATCTCAAGTAAGATGCTGATGGCTCACGCCTGTAATCCTACCTACATGGGAGGCTGAGATCAGGAGGATCATGGTTGGAGGCCAGCCTGGGCAAATAGTTTGAGAGACCACATCTCCAAATCAACCAGAGCAAAATGGACAGGAGGCCTGGATGAAATAGTAGAGTTTCTGCTTTGCAAGTGCTAAACCCTGAGTTCAAAGCCCAGTCCCACCAAGACAGAGCAAGACTAATATTCTGTGAGTACTTTAAAGTCAAAGAATGTCTTACAGGTTTTATTCTCCTTAGAGGCACAGGGCAGGGTAGAGTGAATGAATGAGTGAAATCCTGTCCCACTCTACCCCTAGGAGTTGGGGTCCTGGCCGGCCAGCCCCAGCCCCGGGAAATGCCTACTCAGGAGCTCACTCACCAAGGCGCTTCATGAACTCATCGAAATTCTTCTCACTCTCGACCTCGAACTTGCCGTGGAAGGCCATGATGCTAGAAGAGCTGGAGCCAGAAAGCAGTGAGCCAAGGGAAGAAGGTCGATGTGGAAGCGTCTGGAGTCCCTGCTTATAAATGCTCCCAGCTGCTGAGGCTCAGCCCCTAAGTCACCCCACTTCTCCCTTCAGCCCCTGAAGAGGAGGTGCTTTCTTTTATGATATGGGCAGAGCCCTGAGGTTATTCACCCTGGGGAAATACCAGTGGCAATTCTCAGTGTCATTACAGGTAAGGCCAGGGTAGGACTGCACAGTGTCGAGGAGTCATTCACCCCTCTGTCCATCCTGCTCTCCATCGACATCCTGCCCTCACCCATGCTTTCCTCCTCACTCCTCCACTCATCGGATATGGTGCCTGGAGCACCTGCTGCATGGGAGCTTGCACTGGGGAGATGTTGGTGAACAAGACACACACCTTTCCCAATAGAGCTCCCAGTCCAGTCCAGAGACAAGGGACGCTCCACAGAGTGTGTAAGCCATGAGTGATGTCCCAGGAGATAAGCTGCTGTGTGGCCTGGAGTGTGGGGATGGAGCCAGGGTGTACACTGGGGAGCTGGTGTATCTTTGGGGAGGAGGTGGCATTTGATACAGGTCTTGAAGGACCAATAGGATTTAGATGTGTAGAGAGGAGGAAGGTTGGAGAATGATGAGAACAAAGGGAGGTGATTTTCTAGGATGAGGGAACAGTGTGATGAAGGTGGGAAGAGTAGAGATGAAAGGAAACAGGGCAGCAAAGAGTCCTTGGAAAAGAGCAGACACAATTAGGATACAGCGGCCGTGGAGCATGGTGCACACTTGGGAACGGGGCTGGGGACACCAGCTGTTTAGCAGCAGTGTGTGGTTCGTGGGATCGCTCCCTAAGTCACACAGAATTGACATGTGTATAAGTATAAAGCACTCTACAAAGCTCTCATCTTCATCGTTATTGTTAATTAAGAAGTTTCTAGCTGAGCAATGGTGGCTCACGCCTGTAATCCTAGTTACTCAGGAGGCAGAGATCAGAAGGATCGTGGTTTGAAGCCAGCCAGGGCAAATAGTTTGCCAGATCCTATCTCGAAATAACCCATCACAAAAACAGGGCTGCTGGAGTAACTCAAGGTGTAGGCCCTGAGTTCAAACCCCAATCCGAAAAAAAAAAATTCTAGCTGGGCATTGGTGTTTCACGCCTGTAATCCTAGCTCCATGGGGGAGATCAGGAAGCTGGCAGTCAGAAGCCAAATCAAGCAAAAAGTTCGTGAGACCCCATCTCAACCAGTAGCTGTGCACGGTGGTACTCAGCTGCCATCCCAGCTACGCAGGAAAGCAAAAATAAGAGGATCGAGGTCCAGGCAGGCCTGGGCACACGGCAAGACCCCATCTCAAAAATAACCAAAGCAAAAAGGGCTGTCAGAGTAGCTCAAGTAGTGGAGTGCCTGCCTAGTAAGTGCAAGGCCAAGTGCATTCCCCAGTACCATCAAAACAGAAAAGAAAAGAAATCTCTAAATTCACACCTGTAATCCCAGCAGTCAGAATGCCGAAACGAGAGTATTGCAAGTTCATCTGATCTACATACCAGGACCCAACCTCAAAAAAAGTGGAAGAGAGGGGGGTGTGGCTGGCAGAATGGCTCAGTGGTAGAGCACCAGCCTAGCAAGCATGAGGCCCTGAGTTCAAACCTCAGTACCACCAAAAAAAAAAAAAAAGGTAAAAAACAGCAAAGTAAATTTTCAAATAATTCAGAGCAAGTAGCCTTCCTGGCAGAGGTGGTCCTTTCTATACTTTAAATGCATACATGCACTTTCTTATAAAAATGTGATTACAGGGCCTGGGGACATAGCTCAGTGTTAGATCTGTGCTTAGCACGTGTGAGTCACGCCCTGGCTTTGATCTCCACCACCACAAAAAATAAAAGTTAAATGAAATATTATTCTAGTCTGTCTGTTTTATGTAATGATATAGGTACACAGCTATCACTCCAGAGGACTGGGAACGTAGCTCAATGGTAGAGTGCTTTCCTGACACGTGCAAGGTCATGTGCAATCTCCAGCACTGCAATTAATCAATTAATTAATAGCTCCAGAACATTCTGTCACATGTCTGTTTCATGATTTACTCATCTATTTCTGGGTCTTTAGGCTATTTCCAATCTTTTTCTATTATAAATAACTGTAAATATTCTTGCTCACACCTCTGGGTACATGTCTGATGATTTACTAAGATTATTCGCTGAGGATGAATTCCTAAGCATGAAATTCCTGGAACAAAGGGATTTTGTGTTTCAAATATTTATATCTCAAGGCTGGGGAGTGGCTCAAGTGGTAGAGTACCTGCCTAGCAAGTGTGAGGCCCTGAGTTCAAGTCCCAGTACTGCCAAATTTAAAAAATTGTCAAATATTTATATCTCTTACTGCATCACCTTTAGAACGGCTCTAGTGACACTCCTACCTACAGCCATATGAAAATGTCCCCTCATTGATAATAATGATGAAATTTCAATGACAATAATACTAACCTTTACTGGGTGCTTATTGTGCACAGGACCTCTGCTGAGAGGTTTACATGGCTTTCTTCATTTAATCTTCAAAACAACTCTGGAGCCAGGCTCTGGTGGCTCATGCCTGCAATCCTAGCTACTTGGGAGGCTGAGATCGAGAGGATCAAACATGGAGGCCAGCCTGGACAAATAGTTCTCTAGACCTCATCTCCAAAATCACGAGTGCAAAATGGACTGGAGATATGGTTCAAGTAGTAGAGCGCTTGCTTTGCAAGCATGAAGCTCTGAGTTCAAACCCCAATCCCACCCAAAAAAATAAAATAAAATAATACAAACTCTGGAAGTAGGTACTATTAATTGTTCCCATTTTGCTGAGAAGCAAACAGAAGTTGTGAACAGTGGCGCTGGGGGCAAGAAGCCGGCAGCACGGACCCATGTCCTCTCCAGCCCCCACTTAGCTCCCTTTCCTATTGACTTCCTCCTGCCCAGGCAGACCTGGCTTCTCCTGAGTTGTTACTCAGCCAGGGTTGACATCAAGGACAATGCCACTGACAGCGGAATGCCTAACTCAGTGGCCCCCCTCCATCACGTGTGCATGTGACTTCCTCCATCCACACACGCGTGTGTCCCTCCCTCTTTTCCTGGGGTGGCTCTGCTTGAGCGATCATTGAGAACCACCCAGGAGAGTTTATGGGGCCATTGAACCAATGGAGATAAGAAGAGCCCCAAGGCTAATCCTGTTGGGCACCCCAACTTCCCGTCTGGACTCTGGCTCCTGCTGCACACAGCTGCCATTATCCGGAGAGGAACACCTAGGGAAGGGGTGGAGCACAAGTGACTGATCAGGAGGCGGGGCCATCTCCCACCTGGGGTTCTGTGCCTTGCATGGAGCAGTGAACTGTCAGCGCTGCTATTCCTTGATCAGTCTCCTGTTCTCCTTCCTCACCAGAATCTGCAATGCTTCTTAGAGCTGATCCTAGAATGTCAGGACCAATGAGACCTCTGAGGGCAATTTGTCCTGTGACTGAGTCAAGGCTGAGCTGGGGAGTGGTTCAGAGGTAGAGGTCTTACTTGCATAAGACCCTGGGTTAGATCCCCAGCACAGAGAAAAGGGGTTGGGTTTATCTTCTTGTGTCTCAATTTTCTCATCTGCAAAATGGGCACAATAACAACCTGAAAGGGATGTATTCCGCGAGTTCATTTTTGTAAAGCACCGTTTACAGAGCCCGACACACAGCATAGAAGAGCGTGTTCCTTAAATTTGGGAGCAGGCTGGCTGTGCAGCCTGGACACCACTCCGTCCCATCACCAGCTTCGCAGCAACAAAACCTTTGTCGTCTCCTAGTCAGATATCCAGGGCTCAGTCCTCCTTCTTGTCTTTGCTCTCTGAGTTCTCATTTTCTTGGTGATCACATCCAGCTCAGAGCATTAAGTATCTTCTTATGCTGGCGACTCTTTTTTTTCTTCTCCATCTGAGAAGACCCCTCTGGTCTTTGTATATCGAACCATCTACCTATCAACTTTGCTCCCTGTCTTCCCCTTCTCAAACTTAACACATCCAGAGCTCCTGTCCCTCTACCCTCTGCAAAACTGGCTCCTCTCAGCGACTTCTCAGTCCCAGACAATGGGGAACACCAGAACCAAGATCCATCGTGCAACTGCCGTGGGCCAAGCCCTGTGCTAAATGCTTTCCGTGACTTTCTTCCTGTTTTCAACCAGTCTATGGTGTGGGTTCTGCCATCCCCCTACTCTTCAGATGAAGAAACAGAGGCTCAGAAATGCCACAGCCCCGAGGGACATCACGTCCCGTGACTGGATTCAGCAATGTGATGTGTACGTCCACCAAAACCTCCAGAATCCTGGGACTGTATGGCTCTTTTAGTACTTTGCAAGTGACCCCAAAGTGCCAGACATAGTGCTAAGAGCTTGACACATGGCATCTCATTTAATGCATACAAAAACTTCTGAAAGGGCTGAGAATGTTGCTTAGTGTAGAGCATTTGCCTAGAAGGTGCAAGGTGCTGGGTTCGATCTTCAGCACTGAAAAGAAATTCTGAGAGCATTGTAACAATCCTTATTTAAAGAAAAGAAAGGACAGGTGTGATGGCGCACACCTGTAATCATAACACTGGGGAGGCTAAGGCTGGAGGATTGGGATTCAAGGTTAGCAAGGGCTACATAGTAAGACCCTGTCTCAAAAACAAAAGAAAACAGAGAAAGAGAGAGGGAGGGAGGGAGGAAAGGAAGGGAAGGAAGGAAAGAAAGAAAGAAAAAAGAAAGATAGAAAGAAAGAAAAAGAAAGAAGAGAAAGAAGGAGAGAAGAAAGGAAGGAACGAAGGAACGAACGAAGGAAGGAAGGAAGTCTAGGCTCAGAAAAGTAAGATGACTTGTCCAAGGTCACGCAAGTAGCCAGCCATTAAATTTGGAAGTGAGAACTGGGCACCAATGACTCATGCCTGAAATTCTGAATACTCTGGAGGCAGAGATCAGGAGGATCGAGGTTTGAAGCCAGGCCAGGAAAATAGTTCTTGAGACCCTACCTCAAAAA